AGAATGAGGCACAATACTACTCCACTACAGTGGTTTTCCTCACTCCAAACACACTGAAAATCTCTAGCACAATCTTTTTTCCTGTTTTGAGGACTCCTCCCTGCCCTCCCTTCCAGCCACTCTGGCAGGGTAGAAGCAGGAAGGTTCTTTGGGGGATATTCCCAGCCTCTTTCTCATGATAAGTTCTTAGGGGTTAGTAGACAGGCCTCAGAACTTTGGGACAAGCCATCCCCTCCCACCTTTCAGACCTGAGTACATTAAGATGACATTTTTTTTAAGTATTAAAGAGAAGGGAGGTTCTGATTTTGGTGGAGAGGGAAGAAGCAGAGATATGTTGGTGAGTACGTATCCCACATGGGATTCCAGAGGAGTATCATGTTGCTCATGAAAGCATGCTAACTGATGTAGTGGGCACAGAGCTGCCAGAAAGGGCTCCGGGCAATCAGGGCTCAGACTGGGGTAGCGACCACAGTGACAAGTGACAGTGAGTGGGGCTGGGGAGAGGGAGGTTTCATGCAGCAGAGTCGCCATATTGAAGTAGTTGCAAAACACCTTGCCCTCGGATGACCAGATAGCTTATTGTCCAAACCAGGGGAAGGAGGGCACTAGTAATAATTATACCAGGACAACCAGTGTAAACTGGGACTGTTCCAACCAAACCGAGATATATGCTCTCCCAATAGAGGGCCCTAAAGAGTGTTCTGGAAGATTGGATAGTTAGTTTACCAAAGCTACAAAGAGAGGGAGGGTTAATACCCTCGTGGGTAAAGCACTAGCAATCTTCTTAGGGCTATCAGACCTCCTCAGGGAGATGATGACCATGATGGGGAGATAGTAGGACTCCTGCCTCTAAGAATTTCTTTCTTTGAATAAAGTGAATCAGGGTGGGTGAAAATAAATGCAAAAGTGGCCAGTATTGTTAGGGCTGATGAGTGGTTAGACGGGTATATGATGGAGGGGTTATAGTGAAGCATAATCCAAAGAATATGACAAAGAACATCAGAGACAAAGAACACAATACCCGGCCCCTAAGCCTTATGACTCAGTGGCCGGTTCAGTGCCCCCTCCTCCCGGGACAGATCCCTGGTGGAGGCTCATGCCAGGGTCCCTCTTGTTCCTGGGCAGGTCCTGCAGGTCCTGGTTTTTTACCTGCAGGGGGCAGTAGAGGGCTTCCACTTCTGGGGCTCCATTTGCTCCTCCCACTGCTGCAATCGGCTTAAAGTGGTCCAACCTGGACTTCTAAGGGTCTTCATGCTTCCCTCCCACGCAGACCACAGTCAGCCACCTCACATGCTCTGACATCCAATGAGAAGGCAGGACCTCCGACAGCGGCTGTATCTCCAGATCTCCAATTCAAGGCTAGGTGGAGCCGTGCAGGCCAGTAACTGAGGAGGAGTCCACGGAGGTGAATTCTACTCGCCCTCACGGGAGCCTTCCTCTGTCCACTATGAGGCGGTGTCCTGAGGCTTCCACATGGCCATGGCTCCTCTCCCCAGGGCACCCGGTCTGGAAAGGAGGGGCACAGATAGAGACAACCGCAGTCTGCGGAGTGATTAGTAGAGAACCAGGAGCATAAATAAATAGAAAATGAGTCTTTGAAATAGAGAAGTTTAAAAAAAAAAAAATGAACAGTTGGCATGGACCCCACCGAGCTTTCCTTCAGCTTCTCCTTCAAGTTAAGTCTGGGTGTTGGTGGGTAAGAGGTCTTCTTGATCTCAGAGATATCCAGCCTCAATTGGGGTAAAAAACTGTCTCCAATATTTTAGCTATCCCTGAGCCAGATGGCAAGTGCTGTCTACCCTAGAGATTTTTTTAAAGGTCATGCTGAGAATTACTATATTTCCAGAGATCTGCCTCTTCCCAGAGCCTTCCCCAGCCACAGCTCCTTTGCCTTGCTTGAGCCAAACCCTCTCACTTGCCCTGGAGTAACTGAACCTGCCTCCCAATTATGGGTGAAAACCAGAATGTGTCCCATATTCCATTTGTTAACTTTCTCTCTTGTACATTTTAAGCTTCTCAGGCCTGCCTTCCCCCCCCCCAAATGCCCTAAAATGAAATTCTGGTGCTCAGTTTTAAAAAGCAAGCCCCATAAATGCTCACAAAATAAATCTCAGCAAGATGAGAACATATTCCCTCTTATCCCAGAGTTGAAGAAAATCAGACACGATTCTGCTTCACAGAGTTGATTCTGATAAAGTGGTAAATCAAGAACATTCAGTCCCACTGGTGTGAAAATATGTAATCCTGTTCTATGTTATATTTATATCATCTTTGGAAGTGTAATTTGCACAAAGGAATCTTTTAAGACATGCAGACATTAGAGAAGATTGCTATATGACCAATACAATGTAATTTGTAAACCTTAAAAGTCTGCAACTCCAGTTGGCCATTCACAATTTATTTGTCTGAAAACAATATTTAATTAATTTATTTTTTTTTAAGAGAGAGCACAAAAGCAGGGGGAGGGGCAGAGGGAGAGAGGGAGAGAAAGAGAATCCCAAGCAGGCTCCATCCCAGCACCGAGCTGGAGGCGGGGCTCAAACTCACGACCCTGAGATCATGACCTGAGCTGAAACCAAGAGTCGGATACTTAACTGACTGAGCCCCCCAGGCACCCCTGAACACATTATTTAAATTAACCTCTTCAATTTCAAAAAGGCATAAAGATTTATGAGATTGTTGTTTGTTTGTTAGACCAGAAGAATACCTTTGGGGCTGTCTTGTCCTTTCAAGCATAAAGTTAAAATGTCATTCCTCTGTTTGTCTTTTTCAAAGAGTTTAAGAGTCTGTGATAATTTGAATTAACAGGGGGAAATCCTTGCCCTGCGATCTACCAGGAAAGCTGGGAATCAGCCTTGTGGGGAAGAGCTGGAAAAGGAAGAGGGGAAGCAGCACAACCCCAAGCTCAATTAACTTGAGGGGATTTGGAATGTGCAGCCCATAGCAGCCCTGTCCTGGGGGTGATAGAAGGTGATAGAAGGAAGACAAATGCCCTGACCATGATATTTGGGGTCACCATCTCCACCATAACCACTTGAGAGACAATAAACATTCTCAAGTCCAGGGGCACCTGGGTGGCTCAGTCGGTTAAACATCTGCCCTCAGCTCAGGTCATGATCTCAGGGTCCTGGGATCGAGCCCCGCATCGGGCTCCCTGCTCAGAGGAAAGCCTGCTTCTCTCTCTCCCTCTGTTGCTCCCCCTGCTTGTGTTCTTTCATTCTCTCTCTCTCTGTGTGTCAAATAAATAAATAAAATATATTTTTTTTAAATTCTCAAGTTCAGTAGGAAGCTGCCTTCTCAAGCCAGAGGCTCTCCAGGAAGACGGGGTGCCATGAGGCTCAGAGGAGAGGAAGCTGTCGGAGCTAAAGCTTGGATCAGGGAGGAGGAGGAGGAAAGCAAGAACACAAAGGCCTGGAGAAAGGGAGGAAAGCAGTGGGGTGAGGGACAAATAAAGGAAGAAATAATGAGAAGGAGGAGAACATACAACCAGGGACCTGAGCAGGGCATGGACCCAGAGTAGAGGTTACTTCTGGAATGAGGGTGAGAGGGATTGCCTACTGAGCTCTCCCTTGGACTAAGGATGGAGGCAGGATGCTCTAGGGCCAAATGGAAACCAGAGGGATGGCACTTGAGAAGGAGCCTGGTCATTTGTGATGACCCAGGGAGAGCCTGGAAGGAGCTGGAGGAGGTATCCTGCCGAAGAAGGGGAAGAGGGAAAAGTCAGGTCCCAGAGAGTGGTAGCAGAAAAGTACTTAGCAAAGTGATAGAGGGGCTGGAAGAAGAGGGAGTTGAGGGTCAGTATGAGAGGGAAAGGGAAGAAGCCGATTAAGAGACTTTCTACCCATATAGTCAGGATTCAGCCACGCATGTTTGCCATCGTATCCTTGGGCTAGGCACCGTGTTAGCCATCAGTGATGGTGAGCCAAGTAGCCACAGTCCCTACCGTAATGGAGCCTGCTCGCTGGCCTGGTGCACTGTTTGGGAGTGTCCTAAGGGCTTCCGGAGAGCCTCTTGAACGAAGAGTGTACCAAGAGCACTAGAGTGGGTGAGGAGCCGCTCTTAGCCTTTGTGGTGAGCAGAAGGGGAGAGAACCATTCGACAAAGCCATCACATGTTATAACTCTGAGCCCCAGAGGTGTGCAAAGCTTCTAGCTGAAGCTAGAGTCCACAACAGGACATGACCCTGTGCCAACCAATGCTGCAGATGCGCCGCACATCTGCCTGCTTCCCCCCATCCCCTCCCCTTTCAGATCACAGCCAGGGGGGCTGCTCGGAGCTGGTGTCCCCACTGGGCAGCCCTCCCTGGTCACAAGGAGTTCTGGTCCTCAGGGAGCGGGCTGTTGCTGACTTTCCACACACCTGCCTCCTTTGAGGACAGAACCGTTGGCCTCCACAAGGGCTTCCCACCCCTTACCAAGCCATGGGTGAGTGTCTCTCTTGGGGGCCCAGGGAGGGCAGCCTCTGCCCCCTGCCATGGTCTCTGGTATCTATCTAAAGAAGTTTGAGTCTGGGCCTGACACTGCTGGACAAGCAGCTTCCAGGGGCTGTGGGCAGGATTCAAAAGACTACCTAAGCGAGTGCCCCCATCCATGCTTGATGAGAGAGGAGCAAGGAGCAGCTCAAGTTCTTGGGTCACAAACTTCAATCTCTACAAGAGGCAGTCCGCTAACATAAATGAGTGGAACAGTCAGGGAGGGAGGTGTGTGGCCCATTAAAGGGACCACCCTACTGTGTGATACCTGCACGAGTTAAAAATTGGTTGTAAACAGTACAAAAGGGTCAAGAGTCAGTGCCTTCCCGGCCCCCTGATATTTTCTGAGGGCAAATGGGGTTTGGGAGGTGTTTTTCCTCTCCTGTGGTGGGCAAACTATTCCTGAATCAGACAGCAGGTGGCGCTCAACCCAGAGAACTAGAAAAAGGGAACTGTGGAGAATTACTTAACTCATTTCCAGTAACTTCTCCCTCCTCCCCCGCAGGGCCTTCCCCAGCCCCACCTCCTGTTCCCTGGCGTGGGGCACGTCCTCTCGCTGGTCCCAGATGTCCAGTACCAGATGCCTGGTCTCAGAGTGGGGAAATAACCACTGGAGAAGCCCCCACTCCACAAGCTGCCCAGGCAAGATGTGAGTGTGCCCACCGGAAAGGCCTGGAGGAGAGCACAGTGGCGGGGAGAGGGGAAGGTGGGACCCAGGGACGTGCGCGCGCGCGCGCGCACACGCGCACACGCGCACACACACACGCGCGCACACACACACACACACACAGAACCAGTTACTGCGGGGAGAACTGGAAAGTTGCCTGTAGCCTCTAGCAGCCTTCCCTGGAGTTGGTCAGACTCCGTGGTCCGAGCCAGGAGAGCTAACATATTTAAATGTCCCTCCCTCCTACCACCATTGCTCCTCCAGATCCCAGGGTGGGATTGGGACCTGCTAAAGCACAAAGCAGCCCCCTCCTTTGATTGAGACTGTCCTGGGACACGAGCAATGGTGGAAAACTCCCAGTCCAAGCTCCGGCTGGCTAGGAGGCTGAAGGAATCGGGGTGAGGAGAGGCAGTAAGGGAGGAGCCCACAGGTGCCCAGGCCTCAAGGGCTAATGCCTTTGCGGGGCCTCTCGATCTCTCAGCTTCGCCTGCCCCTGCTCCTCATACTTCCACAGGCCTCAGGCCATATGTGTGTGGCCATATCTTGCTCTTATCCACTCACAGGTGGTGGCTACTCCTCTGGGGAGTCCTCCAGGTTTGCCCCACGCAGGGCTCTGTGCTCTTGGCCCAACAGCTACCGCAGCAGCTGACATCCCCCGGGTATCCGGAGCCATATCTCAAAGGCCAAGAGAACTCCACTGACATCGAGGCTCCAGAGGGCTTTGCCGTGAGGCTTGTCTTCCAGGACTTCGACCTGGAGCCGTCCCAGGACTGTGAGCAGGACTCCGTCACAGTGAGCTTCAGTGCGGGTCCTGAAGGGACTCTGAGGAGGGAGCCTCCTGGCCTGGAGCCCAGAGGCAGGGGGACGTGGCTGTGCCCTGAATGGCAAAGGATGGATGAAGAGCCCAAGTCAGGGGCACAGGCGGCTTAGCTGGGAGGTCAGGGTCTGCCCCAGGGCGCTGCCTTCTGCCCTCAGCCCTGCCCTTGTCCCTGCTACCATCTGGGCCCCACAGAGCAAGAGAGAGTGTAGCAGGGCAGGCCCTGCTTTGGAAGTCGTACCGAGGGACACACACATACTGCAAAACCCTGGCGTCAAATAGCAAGGACTCACACATCCATCAGTAAAGATCCACCAAGTATCTGTGGAGTGCAGGCTCCATCTGATCAGGAAGCTGGGCCTAAATAGTAACAAAAGCTTAGGTGACTGTTCAAGCTGCAGGATAAGGACACTTTAAAAATAGCACTTTACGTTATCTTTTGGGTTAAATTTCCTTCGTATCAAAATAATCCATGCACAGAGTTCTTGTAAAAATGAGTATACGACAAGGCTTATAATGAAAACAGCAGTCTCCAGCCTTCTTCCCAGCCCCAGGGCCTCTCCCAGCGGCAGCGCCTGCGATGCACGTAGCTGCTCCATCTGGCATTTACTTCCATGTGTATAAATAGCATGCTTATTGTGTTACTTTTGTGCACATGATCACTTAATTTCCAACCATAGAAGATGAGGATTCGCTTTACCTCTCTTAGACCTTCACTGCATTTCCCCACCCCATCCTCCCAAGCTACCATTATTAGCATTTTTAGTTGTTTACATTATCATGACTTTAAAATATTCCCTTCTGAGCACATGGTGTACGATAATTATAGGTCCTTGCTTCTCCGGCTTTTGGGTCTCCCGGGAGTCAGTAATCTCAGGGAGTTTTTTGGGTTTTCTGTTTGTTTTTGTTTTGATTCTAGTATGCTTAGCTCTGTCTATAACTAAGCTCCCCAAACTCTTAGCCAGGAGAGTAAATCTCCTCTCGCATAATCAACTACAAATCTTAATCTCTTGGTCTTGCTTTGTGTTGACATCCCACCTGAGGATCTCACGATGCTTTATCTCCTCAGAGTTCCTTGCTCTCTAGAGCCTCAAGCGTTCTGGAAGTTCCTTTCTCCCTCCTTCTGGGCATTTCCTGTACCTGTTATGTGCTGGAACTGAACCCCATACCATTCTCTTTCTTGGTTTAGCCCCTTATTTGGGAGGAGCACATTCTCCTCCAGAAAGGATGTGAGGGAATAAGCTGTAAAGGATCTCACATACCCCTGAATGTCTTAGTCCACCCTCACAGTTGATGGATAGGGGATTGGGGACGCAGTCTGGGTTACAAGCCATTTTCTCTCAGAATTTTGATGATACGGTCTGCTGGCTCTAGTGTTGTTAAGCCTGGTACAAGGATGATTCCTGGTCCTTAGTATTTTCGCTCTAGGAGTTTTGGAACATTTTCCTTATTGCCAGTATTCTGAGTTTTCATTCTGATGTGCCTTAATGCGAGTCTTTTTGTACTCATTGTACAGGGGTTTTTAATCTAGAGACTCTTTTTTTAAGATTTTATTTAATTATCAGAGAGAGCAAGAAAGCACGAGCGGGGGAGGGTCAAAGGGAGAAGCAGACTCCCTGCTGAGCTGGGAGCCCCACATGGGACTTGGTCCCAGAACTCGATCCCAGGACCCCAGGATCATGACCTGAGCTGAAGGCAGACGCTTAACCGACTGAGCCACCCGGGTGCCCCTAATCTAGAGACTTTTTAAAGCCAGTCCTTCAATTCTGGGAATGCTCTTGTATTTTTTTTTTTTTTTTTTAGGCTTCTGAGCCTATGTGTGTTTATTTTTATTTTTATTTTTTATTTTATTTTACTGAAGTACAGTTGACATAAAATGTTATCTTAGTTTCAATTGTGCAACATATTGAAAACACAATTCTGTACATTGCTCAGTGCTTACCTCAGTGAATGTAGTCACAGTCTGTCACCATACAATGTTATTATAATATTATTGATTATATTCCTTATGCTGTACTTTTCTTCTCCTCACGTATTCATTTTTTTAAGTTTTTATTTAAATTCCCGTTCGCTGACAGTGTCATATTAGTTTCAGGTGTACAATATAGTGATTCAACAATTCCATACAACTCCTGGTGCTTAATCTTAATCCCCATCATCTACTTCACGCATTCCCCCACCCACTGCTCTTGTATTATTTTTTATATAAGTTCCAGATGTCTGCTTCTTTATTTTCTCTTTCTTCAGGAAGAGAAAATAAATTTAGCTATTGTAAATTCTGGACTGATTCTCCAGTTTTGTTAATCCATTCTGTTCTGTTTTCCACCTCTTTTTGTTCCACTTTCTGGGAGATTTCCTCATTTTAGATCCAACTTTTTTTAAAGATTTTATTTATTTGAGAGAGAGCACAAACAGGGGGAGGGGCAGAGGGAGAAGCATTGCGGGGCTCGATCCCAGGACCCCAGGATCATGACCTGAGCCAAAGGCAGCCGCTGGACTGAGTGGACTGAGCCACCCAGGCGCCCCTTAAATATGAATTTTTTATTAATTTTTTTCTGCTAATGTATTTTTTCATGTCTAAAAGCTCGTTCTTATCTTCTAAATGTACTTTTGTATAGAATATTGTTCTTGTTTCGTAGAGGCAATATCCTTTCCTCTACAGGGATTACTTTTAAATGTTCCTTCTGTTCCTTGTATTAGCTCTACTTCATCCAGGTTCCCTTTTATTGTTCATTTGTTTTGGTCTCTGCTTATTGTGTTAGAACCTTTCCTACAATGTCTGAGAATCCTTGGCTGTCCATTCATATTTAAGAGTGAAATACTCAGATGGCACTGGATGCTCCATGTGGATATCTAAAATTTGTGAAGTGACAGGTTTGACAATAGAGTTATCAGCAAGGTGACCTATTTGTGCTGTTGGGGAACCTCCCAAATATTAGCTTGTGGAAGTATTTTCTTTAGGGACAGCCGATCTCAGATCGGAATCCTTGGGTCTCCTGCTCAGGGTGGCCAACATTCTGGTAAACAAGCAGAGGAGGGAATCTCACTGTTGGATATGTAGACTTTCGCCTAAGCCCTCTGTTTTCCGCACTGGTCTTCACCTCCTCTGTCGAGTGTGCTAGGGGATCCCAAGTCCAGGGTGTCTGGCTCACGCTCGGGTCTTCTGCCAGGGTGAGCTGGAGGGGGTTGCCTGGATGCACAGCATGGGCAAAGGGACCTAGAGTTCTGAGGTCTCCCCACGATGGCTTTCTGTCAGCCCTTCCCTCATCTTCATCCTCAGGGGTGCCTGGTTACCCCAATTTCTGAAACTTTCCTGGGTTTCCTGGCTTGCTTTATGTTGTCTTCCACATTTGAAGACTCGTTGCCGTTTGTCCATCTCCAGCCCATCTTCCAAAATGTTGACATCCCTCCTCTGCTGTCACGTGCTCTTGCTTTTTGCCCTCAATCACGTACACCATTTTATCCCTTTGCTGTCATGTTGGTGGAATTTGAGGTGGGAAAGGAGACAAATGCATGTGTTTACTGCTTCAGATTTTACTGGAAGTCGGGACTGTATTTAATTCAGCCTATGTCTGTTGAGCACCTACCTTGAGCCCTGCTCTTCTCAGTCACGGGCAGTTTCCATCTTGGCCTGACTGTTCCCTGTCACGGAGGGAGTTCCAGCTCAGGAAGAGGATCCTTCCCTCCTGTCTCCTTCCAGAGCAAATCACACAGACACTGCAAATGCAGAACTTAAGACCCGGGAGTCTAGTTCCATTTTTACTCGTCAGTATGTTCAGCCGGCCTGTGGGCTCTTTGGTAGCAGAACTGTCTGTTCTTCATATCTGTGTCCCCAGCACCTAGCACAGTGTCTCACACATAGAACATAATCAGTACCTGTTGAAGGAATGGATGGATGGATGGATGGATGGATGGATGGATGAAATCCAAGCTTCTGTAGAACACACAACAGAATGAATTTGGGATGAGCAGGTGTTTAGTGTCATCCTCACCACCGTTCCACGTGGAGACTCTGGAGAACTGCCATAGGGCGTGATGTTGTGCTGGCTAGAAGAGGCCTCACGGACCATTTTATAGGAGGAAACCGAGAACTGGGGTTAAGAAACCCCCCATGTCACACAAGGAGGTGGGGCAAAGTCTGGAATTTAACATAGGTCTGAGGACTCTCATTCGGGTGTTCATTCTACTTTGCTGGTTAGACTCCTAAGTTATTTTATTTAGCTAACAATTCATGAGGAAGGGTAAGAAGAAAACTGGAGCACTTAACAACCAAGTGTAGCAGTAAAGGACAGTTTCCTAGGGTAAAATGCTTCTTCCCCAGGAGGTAGGTCTCTTAAATAGGGACATTAAATGTGTTGATGTCCTAAGGAAGCAAAAGTATTGGGACATGCCCGAGCAAGACATTCCAGGTGACTGAAAACTTTTCTTTATGCCAACTTCCCCCCAGTTACTGTGATCACGGAGAGATGGGCTGAAAGGAGGCTTAAAGGAATTTGAGATTTGGGGAGAATGAGAGAACAAAGAGCTAGCAAGAACCCAGGGTATGTGGGTCAATATGAAGGTCAGAAATCAAATGAGCTGACCAGTGAGCTGTGTGCCCAGAGAAGAGATTAGGCATGACGCATGGGCCAGGGGAACTCCTTCCAAGATGCCCTTCCTTGGGTTGGGGAACCCACATTAAAGGGTTTGAGCAGCGGTGAGGCAGGCAGAAGGAACAGAAGCAGAGACAACCTGCTTCAAGAACATACTAAAGCATCAATACCCAGGGTACATGCACTGTGTACATTTTGTGTCCATAGATTTCACACCTTGTGGAGGGCTTCACTTACAGCTTCTGGAGTAAGAGGAGGAACATTCCAAAGGAAGGAGAACAGGAAAGGCTAGGAACCCAAGGGGCTCAGTCTTTGCAGAGAGTCTCATGCTTCACAGATGTTGGCCACTGGAAGTTATTCGGACAAGTGGAAGGTGATGGGGGTGGAGGAGGTGGGACGGGAAGGACATAGGTCTGCATATTTGTCGATTCAAGGCTGTGGTACCGTAGGTACCATTTGGAGCATCAGGCAGTCAGGGTGAGCAAAATAGATGTGGTTCCTGCCTTCTTAGAATTTATGATCCAGCGGACTGTTTGGAGAAACCCTGGGCTTCCCAAGGAGCTTCTTAAAAGTAGGTAACTATGGTGGGCTTTATGAGATACTTATGGTAGGCTAAAGAAATATACTAGGTATCTGGTCATGGATAAAAGAAACCCGGGGGTCGGTTATGGGACAGGACGCTACTTGAGAAAAGCTCCCCGAGGAACAGCTTCTGAGCCCCAGAGGGGTGCAGACCTTCTAGAGGATGTGACCCTGTGGAGCAGATTCACCCCACACCTGCCTGCCCACCCTCCCCTTTCAGATCACAGCCAGTGGGATGGATCCAAGTCGGTTCTGTGGGCAGCAGGGATCCCCGCTGGGCAGCCCCCCTGGTCAGAAGGAGTTTGTGTCCCTGGGGAACCGATTGCGGCTGACTTTCCGAGCACCTGCCTCCTCTCAGGACAGGACCACTGGCCTCCACAAGGGCTTCCTGGCCTTCTACCAAGCCGTGGGTAAGTGTCCCTCCTGGGGGTGCAGCCTCTGCCTGGAGCCATGGCCCCTGGTCTCCTGAAGGGACAAGTGGAAGCTTGAGTGACCCCACCCTACCCCCCCAGCCCCCGCCCCAGCTATGCCCCTGCTGCTGAGCAGCCCAATTAAAGGGGCAGGCGTGGCTCAGCTCCAGCAGTTGTTTCCATGCGGATTTATAGGCTGAATGCTTGTAGATCATCTCCTCTTTCAAAAGAAGCCAAGAGTCCAGATTTTTAAGTGAAATTCCAGATTTTCAAATCATAACTCAGGTTTTTTTTTGAAGATAATGCATGCACATGATAATTTTTTTAAAAAATAATATAATATGGTAATAGTATCAGAAGTAAGTCTTCCTCTCATCTCTGGCCCTTAGTCCCTGGCTACCCTGTCCGGAAGCAACCCTGTTGTCCATTTCCTGGGTATGCTTCCAAAGACGCTCTATGTGCCCTTGAAATATACATATTGTTGTGCGGCGGCGGCAGGGGGCGTGTCTAATATTCACAATGTCTTAAATCTAGCATTTTTCACTCAATAATATGTCTTTTTTTAAAAGATTATTTATTATTTATTTATTAATTTGAGAGGGAACAAGAGGGAGCGAGAGAGAGAGAGAGCACGAGCAGGGAGAGGGGCAGAGAGAGAGGGAGAAGCAAATTCCCCGCTGAGCAGGGAGCCCTACTCAGGGCTTGATCCCAGGACCCTGGGATCATGACCTGAGCCAAAGGCAGACACTTAACTGACTCATATTCATGTGGTTAGCAGTGCCTAATTCTTTTTAAGGACCGTATAGTATTCCTTTGACTGATGCACATAATCTGTGCAGCCAGTCCTCTGCTGATGCTCTGCAGCCACAAGCAGTCCTGCTGTGGCTAGCCCTGTATATACATCTTTGAGCCTGTGTATGAGGGTAAATTCTTAGAAATAGAAATGTTAGGTGAAAAAGCATTTGCAATTTAAGTTTCAGCATTGCTGAATTTCCCTCCAAAGAGGTTTTGCTAATATGCACTGACTAGCCATGTATGACAATGCTTGTATCCCCACAGCCTATTTAGCACAGTTACTTTCCATTTTTTAATCATTTTTATCATGGATGATCTTATCAGTGAAAAACAGTTCAAATGTTCTAAATAAAAGACTGTGCAAGTCACACTAAATACGGCCCTGGGCCAGAATCAGTCCCAGGGCTGCCAGTTCAGGGTCCTCCTGACCACTGGTTTCCTACAGGTGTGAACCACAGTCAGCCCATCAGCCCGGCCAGGGAAGCCTCTGAGGCCACCAGCACACCTGGAGACAACCCCTCCAAGATCCAGAGCCACTGCCAGGAGCCCTATTATCAGGCCGTGCCAGCAGGTGAGTCCCCGCCTGCTGGGGAACCAGCTCCTATTTGCCTCACTCCCACCAAGAGGCGCTCTGGGCACCTAGCACCCCCACCTCCCAACTGTGAATTTGTCTCTCTGCCCCCCTCATTTCACTCCCCAGGGACACTCACCTGCACACCCCAGGGCCCCTGGAAGGAGACGCAAGACAGGGAGGAGCTTCCTCACTGCATACCGGGTGAGTAGTGACCTCCCGGCGCCGACCCTGTGGCCGCTTCCCGAAGAAACCTCAGCCATATGTGTGGCCCGCGGGAGCAGGACATAGGGGGTTAAAGGAAAGCCTGAGGGTAGACAGGGAGAGATAAAGGCGGAAGGTGCAGAGGAAGAGGGGAACCAAGAAGGGCCCAGAAAGGGAGAAGCAAGAATCTTGTCCCTTATTCAGGATCAAGAGATAACTGAGAAAGTAAAAGCATAAAGGAAGTTCATCAGAGGGGACAGTAAAGGAGGAGAGGGTCAGAAGAGTGGAAAGAAGAGAAACCCCTCTCTTGGGATGGGCTGCTTTAAGGATACACAGCCAGGCTCTCTGTCCCCAAAACATCTCCCTACCCACATGCCACAGTGCCAGGAAGTCTGCCATGTTAAGACTTTTTATTAAGATAAAATTTATGTAACATAAAATTCACCATCTTAACCATTTTAAAGTATACCATGTAGTGATTTTTAGTATATCCACAAGGTCGTGTCACCATTACCACTAATTCCAGAACATTCTCATCGCCCCAAAAAGAAACCCAGCACCTCAGACTCTCCCCTCCACCACCCACTGGCAACCACTAATCCACTTTCTGTCTCTGGATTTGCCTCTTCCGACATTTTCTATAAAGGGAATCATGCAGCATGTGGCCTTTGTGTCTGGCTTCTTTCATTTCGCCTGTTTTCAAGGTTCATCCGTGTTGTAGCAGGTGTCAGGATTCCATTCCTTTCCATGGATATACCACCTTTTGTTCATCCGTTCATCAACTAAAGGACATTTGGGTTGTTTTCACTTTCTGCCTTTTAGGGATAAATGCTACCATGAGCATTCATGTACGAGTTTCCGTGTGAACATATGTTTTCTATTCTTTTGGGCATATCCCTAGTAGTGGAATTGCTAGGTCACATCACACCTGTAGGTTTCACTTTTTGAGGACTTGCCAGGCTGTTTTCCGCTGGGGCTGCATCCTTTTATATTCCCACCAGCAAGATATGAGGGTTCAAGTTCACTGTTTTTGAAATCCATTTTTTTTGGAGTCAAAGCATTGCCTTTCTAACCCAATCTGAATAAATTTCTCAGATATCGCTCCTGACCCTCAGAAAGCTCTCAGGCCAGGCTGATGCAGTGTTTGGGCAGTGGGTTGGAGGGCAGGTGATGGTGGAAGATGTCAAGGATGAGGAAGGACACAGAAAACAGAGGCAACGGGCACTGAGGACAAACTGCTTCCTGCATGATTTTGCTCAGGATGGCCCCACCAAGAGTCTGAGGAAGTGGCTTTAAAATGTCTGAGGGATGGGGGAAACAAGGGAAGGGGACCAAGAGCACACTTACTGTGATGAGCACCGAGGACCCTGTAGAGCTGTCGGACCACTATATTGCATACCTGAAACTAATATAACGCTGCGTGTTAATGACACTGGAATTAATTTTTTAAAATCCTATTATTAAGGTAAAATAAGAGTGATTCTTATTTAAAAAGAAATCCTCTGAGGAGGCGCTGGAGAGAGAGCGCTTCACGGAAGCGGGTCTTTAACAAAGGCATCTTGATGCAGCAGCTGACGTCCCCTGTACGTCTCTCTTCTCTCCCAGTCTGTGGCCGGCCGGTCACCCCCATCGCCCAGAACCAGGAGGCCCTGGGTTCCTCCAGAGCCAAGTTGGGCAACTTCCCCTGGCAAGCTTTCACCAATATCTACGGCCGCGGGGGCGGGGCCCTGCTGGGCGACAGGTGGATCCTCACGGCCGCCCACACCATCTATCCCAAGGACGGCATCTTTCTCGGGAAGAACCGGAGCGTGGATGTGTTCCTGGGCCACACAAGCATAGACGAGATGTTGCGGCTGGGGAGCCACCCTGTGCGCCGCGTGGTGGTGCACCCGGACTACCGCCAGCACGAGTCCCGCAGCTTCGACGGGGACATCGCGCTCCTGGAGCTGCGGCGCAGCGTGCGGCTGGGCCCCAGCCTGCTCCCGGTCTGTCTGCCCGAGCGCCAGGCCCTCTACCGCAGCGGCGTGTGGGGCTACGTCAGTGGCTTCGGAGTGGACAGGGGCTGGTTAACCACCCAGCTGAAATACTCCAGGCTGCCCGTGGCCCCGCGCGCCGCCTGCCAGGCCTGGCTCCAAGAGAAGCAGAGGTCTGAGGTGTTTTCTGCCAACATGTTCTGTGCTGGGGATAAGATGAGGCAGCAGAATGTCTGCCAGGGGGACAGCGGTGGCGTCTATGTGGTATGGGATGAGCGCGCCCATCACTGGGTGGCCACGGGCATAGTCTCCTGGGGCGTGGGCTGTGGCCAGGGCTATGGCTTCTACACCAAAGTGCTCAACTACCTGGACTGGATCAAGGGAGTGATGGAGGGGAAGGACTGACCCTGGGGGCGCTTGAACAGTGACACCCAGCTGTGGAGCGTCCCCCCATCCCGGAGAGGGTTAGGAGGGAGGACTGGGCTCAGGGGTGGCGCTGGGGGCAGGGAATCCCTATTCAAGTGACCGCTGTCCTGTCCTTTGTGTGAGAGAGCTCCTCCTCCTTCCCAGTGCCCCCCCCTTTCCTCCTCCTTCTCCACCTTCTTGCCCGAGTTTGCGCTCCATCCAGGAAAGCCCTGGACATCTCAGCCAGTTTCCCTTTAAACTTCATCTCCTGCTGACACGGCTTTTTCTGTACTCTCCTGGGAGACGGTCACCTTCTCATCCCCCAGTTCAAGTGGGGTCTGGGGGATGTGGTCTTAATTGTTTTCATTTCTGAAACATTCCAAAGCCCCTCTAGTTGGCCTGCACACATTCAAACTATTGGCTTCAGCCCCCTCCCCCCGCCAACGGTATCTCCTAGCTGCAATTCTAGTAAACAGCCCATTTTGGCTTACATGTTCTGCATACCAGGAGCTTCACAGGTTATTTCATTGATTCCTCACAGCAAGTTTGCAACGGAGCTGTTATTACCCACAATTCACAAATGAGGAAACTGAAGCCCAGGGAGATAAAGTGGCTTGCCCAAAACCCACAGCTGGGACGGGACTGCCAAGGCCATGGGCTTCCCAGGACACCATGATACCTCCCGATTGTCCTCCAGACCTACTCTGCTTCCCCTTCCCAATCCCCACATCCTTACAGGTCCTCCCCGGGAATTCCTGCTTCAGTGAAGATGACAACACCTCGCTCACACTTCCCTGCTGGCCCCGTCTCCTGCAGACCCCAAGCTGAGCCCAGCCCCAGGCTGGATGTTGGGGCCGACAACCCCCAGTGCTGCTGGACACCTGGGTCTGGGCTCCACCTGAGAAGACCAGCTCTTTAACTTTTAATAAGGTCTTGAGGTGATTTACAGTGAAAGACACGAGTAAAATAAGATTGTTCAAATGGAAATAGAAAATTAATACCATAAAACAGAAGAGAGCAAATTTGCTAGCACTGAAGGTCAAGTTAGCTTACCTGGTTAAAGTTTAAATTGATCTTTGAAACACAGTAGGATTCAAAGTTGTACATACATGTGGTTACTTCAATTTTTTTAAACCATTTTTAAACCTAAGTATAAAAGACTATTAAAAACACCCTAAGGGGTGCCTGGGTGGCTCAGTCAGTTAAGTGCCTGACTTTTGGTTTTGGCTCAGGTCGTGATCTCAGGAACGTGGGATTGAGCCCCATGTAGGGCTCTGCAATCAGTGCGGAGTCGGCCTGGGATTCTCTCTCCCTTTGCTCCCCCCACTTGTGTTTGCTCTCTCTTTCTCTCTCTCTAAAATAAAATAAATAAATCTTGGGGCACCTGGATGACTCAGTAGATTAAGCATCTGCCTTTGGCTGTGGTCATGATCCCAGGGTCCTGGGATCAAGCCCCGAGTTGGGCTGCCTGCTCAGAGGAGAGCCTACTTCTCCCTCTCCCTCTGGCTGCCACTGCCCCTGCTTGTACTCTCTCTCTCTCTCTCTGTCAAATAAATAAATAAAATCTTTAAAACCAATCAATCAATCAGTCTTTTTTAAAAACACCCTAAAATACTAACCAGAAGTTGTTTTAGGTGGTATAATTTTGGCTGTTTTGTTTTCCCCTCTTCCTCTGTAATTGCTAAACTTTGCTAAATTTTATTTAATGAGCATGTATTCGTTTCATTTTATTTGTTTTTATTATTGAAAAATGATGTTTCTTCCTGCCAAGGCAAAAAATATATACCTATAGCTATAGATCTATATAGACCTAGATGTCTGGCTATAACCACATAAGGTAACCTGCTATTACTTTAAGAGAGAAAATTTTTTTCCCCAGAACCAAAACCTAAGAGGAATGAACAATAAAATAGACAATGTCTTCGATACTGGTCTTTTTTTTTTAAAGATTTTATTTATTTATGTGACGGAGAGAGACGGGGAGAGAGGGAACACAAGCAGGGGGAGTGGGAGAGGGAGAAGCAGGCTTCCCGAGGAGCAGGGAACCCGATGCGGGACTCAATCCCAGGACCCCGGGACCATGACCTGAGCCTAAGGTAGACGCCCAATGACTGAGCCACCCAGGCGCCCCTGATACTGATCTTTAAACCAGTGCAGGAGTAATCTTCATATGTCTGTTTCTTCTTTCTGTCCTTGGTGTAAGTCAACGGTATACGACAAATGTGCAAGTAAGGTTTCCTTTGAGTGGCCGGACAGAGAGGAGGCCGGGCTGGGACTGAGCTGATGAAGCCCAGGTTTGTCACTTTGCAGCCATGTTGTATGATACTCAGAATCCCTGGGATGAATAGGAGAACTTCAGCTAAGAATTACCTTCCTGGACCACCTGCTCCTTACCTGTGATCTCCGCCATTCTGCCTCCACTATGAACACAACACACACGCATGCACACGGTATTGTCAAAATGCTAATGTGCAATTTGCTAGACAAGACTCCCCTTCTTGGGGCACCTGGGTGGCTCAGTCGTTAAGCGTCTGCCTTCGGCTCAGGTCATGATCCCAGGGTCCTGGGATCGCGTCCCGCATCGGGCTCCCTGCTCAGCGGGAGCCTGCTTCTCCCTCTGGCTGCTGCTCCCCCTGCTTGTGAGCTCTCTCTCTGACAAATAAATAAATAAAATCTTAAAAAAAAAAATTCCCCTTCTTCCTCGTCTCCTCATCTAGTCCTTATGCTTCGCCTCTATCTTTCGTCTTTTCTGACCTGACAAGGTCATGGGTCATGTCAGGGATTAGGTCATGGATCAGCCCTGCCATCAGATTCGCTCCTCAGCTCTGACATTTAGGCCTGCTGGAGGAACCCTCCACACCTTGGTTGACTTCGCATCTCCCTGTACCTGCTCTCTAACCACACTCAGTGAGGCCTTGGTCATTGCCTAATGGTGAACTGCCCCATCTTTGTGAGTCCTTGCAATCCATTGCTTGGGAAAGTACCTGGCATATTAAATAGGTAGTCCGTACATGGATGAATGAGGGGGTAGGTGGCTGGAGGGAAAGAGGGTTTAATCCAACTGGAGAAACAAGCAGGATGGACTACAAAGGCCCACGACTCAGAGACCAGCTCTGCCGGAGCCTCCTTCTGGAATCGAACGCCATAGGGTATTTGAGCCCTGGAGAGTTGAGGAAGAAAGGCTTCCACAACGAGCAAACTTTTAAATTAGGAGACTATGGCCTGGAACACAGGAGAGAGAAAACCTCCCTCCCTCCCAGGGGCCTACTTTCTTTCAGAAAAAACCAAGTCACTGTTGGTGCGCAGACCTACTGTCTGCCTAGTCCTAGGCAACCGTGACCCTCAGGGGTTCAAACGCTTGACCAGATGCCAAGAAGAACAGGATGTCTCTACCCTCGCTCAGCTTCCCTTGCCTCTCTAAGAGCCAAGTTCACAGGCAGGTCTGAGTTCAATGAAGTGAGGAGGAAGGGTCTTAAGACAGACCCTAGTGCTGCTGTAGGGTCACCCTGACCTAAGCACCCCGTGTCCTGTGTTTAAGTGTCATTCATGGGGAAAGGAGGCTGGGGCCCCAGTGCAACCAAACTCCGTTCTCTTCTGTCCGCTCCTGCCATGCCCTCTCCGCCTCGTGGTTCCTGTCACACCATCCTGGACATTAAAACCCTGGCCATTCCCGGGTGAGTAAGGGCAGGAAGAACTGGATTAATGGAACAGGGCACTGCAGAAAAGAGAGTCCCCCCTTAACTGCGATTTCAGTTGCCTTTGGCGTCGGGACCTTGTAAACACAGCAGCAGTCCCTGAAGAAAGGGAGAATTCAGATCAGATTTAAGAAACCGAGAAGTCTGGGCTTCCAACCAAAGGCTTTCTCCCTTCTGAAAACTCGGGCCCATCTCTTCAGCCCTTCCCCAGGCACGCCAGCAGGTGGCACCACCATCGGGGATTTCAAAACCAAAACTACATTAAACTGGAAACAGATTTTTTTTTTTCGTTTTGTTTATGCAAATAGTTCATTCCCTACAACGTTCCTCCGGGAATGGTCCCCTCCTTCCCCTCTACAGTCATTCCCTCCCCCTTGCCTCCCCTACATGACCGCTCTCTCCCTCAACACAGAGTGGATGAAGACGCTGTCAGGAGAGTCCAGGATCCAAAAACAAGCCTTGAGAAATGTGAGTAAGGCTGATGCGGCCCTGGGAGGGTGGGAGAAGCCAGAGGAGAGAATCCTGGGCATGGGAGGCAACCCTGCTCCCAAATTCATTCAGGGGGACCGGAACGCCCCTCCCTCCCCATATTCCTTACCTATTCCCGGAAGCACACACGTGCCTACGCAAACACATAACCCACCATCCCTCCTCCTGAGGAGGAGACCTTAGACCCATGAGGCGATGGCCATGTTCCCTTCTTCCTCCTAACTCATGGCAGGGGAGCAGCAAGATGAAGGGACCCACTGTGCCCAGGAGAGGTGTGCTCTGTGCATGACTCCGTATTCCAGAGGCCGTTTCTCCCAGAGGCCTTTGCTGAGCCTTTGGGAGCCCCATCGGAGAGCCATGACTGGAAACCCTCGCCCTCCATTAACTGGTCCCAAGCCAGCCCTGTTCCAGGAAGGGGAGGGGAGTGGTGGGAGAGGGCAGGGGAGGAGGATGGGGAGGGAGGTGCAGGGAGTACGATGACCTCTGGACTGGACATTACCCCGGGGGAGGAACACCCAATGCAGCGGCTGCAGAGGCCAGGCTCTCCACTTCACCACCCCCACCTAGAACATCTCTACGAGGCCTAGAATGGCCAGAGAGGAAAATGCCGAGCGGTAGGACCATCCCAACCCCCACCCCAGTCACTGCCCAAACGGCAGGGGTGCCGCAGCCCTCCAGCACTAGACACCCACTTTCTTGTCGGCAGGTGGCTCTTATACCTCCTGGTGCCCATCCTGTTCTGCCACGTGGGAGGCTCCATCCCCGTTTCGCAGAAGCTCTTTGGGGAGGTGACTTCTCCTCTGTACCCCAAGCCTTACCCCAGCAACTTTGAGAAAACCACTGTGATCACAGTGCCCACAGGATTCAGGGTGAAGCTCATCTTCTGGCAGTTTGACCTGGAGCCTTCTGAAGGCTGTTTATATGACTATGTCAAGGTAGGGGATCAGGTTGGGAGGGCAGAGGGAGAGCTGGGTGTCTCTGGAAACTGAGGACTTGTGCTCTAATCACCCTGGATAGCATTCCCCACCCATGGACACAGCCCCAGCCCTGCAAGAGCTAATGGCCAAGTGAAGTTCGGAGAGTCTGGTGACACCATGGATGGGGTGTCCACTGGATTTAGAGGCCCTCAGTGAGCACTGAAGGGAGAAACACAGAGGAGGGGATGTGCAGGCCCCACTTCCAGGAAATTTACTGTCTATAGGAGTCAGAAAAACCTTCTCCATCGGCTGACTTGCTGGGAGTCTTTGGAAAACTGCCGTGCCTCAGTTCCCCTGTTTCCATGTAGAATATCACCGTGGCTGCCTTCCTAAACAGGAACATGGGGAAGAGAAACGTGTGTGGTGGTAGCTCAAGCATAAGCCTCAGCAAGGTCAATGGGCTCAGTCTCCTCACCTCTGTGACAGCCAAGTGTGCCTTCCCAGTCTCAACTTTCTATATCAATAAAAATGAGATTCTAGATTCAGGATTCAAGTAGAGTCTACACACATGCAGTAAATACCATTCCCAGGAGACCCTCTGGAGGTTATGAGAGAATAACATGAAAACGATACATCTTCTAGCCCAGAGGACTGGAGACGTTTGCAGGGTTGTGGGGGGAGGGGTCTTGGTGGCAGGGATGGTGAGGGATGGGGTGGGGGCAGTATGTCTTCCACTTCTGAGGGGTTGAAGAACCTGTGAGCAAAGAGATAAGGGGAGCTCAGTGATGCTAGCCCGTGCGGAGGCTGGAGAGGCTCCCACTCAGCTGAGAATACCAGGAGGCATGTGGCTGGACGTGAAAGGTTTGCATAAGGTGCGGTGGGATCACTGGACAGAAAATAAAGCAGACCACTCCAGGCTCCAGGAAGGAAGGGATGCTAAAGGCTGTGTGGAGAAAACCAGGATTCCAGTGGAAGATGAGCATGGGAGGTGGTGGAGACAAAGGAAGGTCTGAAACATGCCAGGGCACAGAGAACAGGGAAGGGGCGTTGTACCAGGCACAGGATAACATGCCAGGAGTTAGCCACAAAAGACTAAGAGGAACAGATGGAAGTCACCGGGGGAACAAAAAGAAAGCAAGTCATGGAGAGACAGTTCACAACAGCCAGAGCCCTGCAGGCAGAGACCAGATGGAAGCTGGTCCCGCAGGGGAGCACAACTCACTCTTTGGGACAAGAGGAGGACTTCTGCTGACCTTCCACCCAGGACATGTCTCCTCAGCTGCTCTTCTTCCCACCCTTTATCCTTTCTCCACAGATCTCTGCTGACAAAAAAACTCTGGGGAGGTTCTGTGGGCAAGTGGGCTCTCCACTCGGCAACCCCCCAGAAGAAAAGGAATTTATGTCTCAAGGGAACAAGATGCAGCTGACCTTCCACACGGACTTCTCCAATGAGGAGAATGGCACCATTATGTTCTATAAGGGCTTCCTGGCCTATTACCAAGCTGTGGGTGAGTGGCCCCTGGGTGCCTTTTTTTCTGGCCTTAGGCATGTTGTATGGGGACCAGAAAAGTGGAATCTTGAATCCATTGAAGCAGGAAGCCTGTCCTTCCTTATTTTTTCCCCTCAAAAGAGCTTTTTCCAAGAGAGGACTGCCAATCTAGATTCTGTCACCGTGGGGTAGTTCCCAGAAAGCATTAGAGAGGCCTGAAATTGGGGTGCCTGCATGTCTCAGTCAGTTAAGTGTCTGATTCTTGGTTTTGGCTCCAGTCATGATCTCAGGTCATGAGATTGACCCCCGTGTCCGGCTCTGCACTGGGTATGGAGCCTGCTTAAGATTCTCTCTCTCCTTCTCCCTCTGTCCCTTCCCACACCAAGCCCCCCCCCCCAAAAAAGAGAGAGACAGAGAGAGAGACAGAGGCCTGGAGATGATTCCAGGTGGCCAGGAGATGATTTTGTCTTTAGGCCTCTGGTGACTGACCTCTCCGGGAGCAGAGCCATGACAGAAGTCCCCGGCAGGAATTTAATCCTTCTTTCTGGGTCTTCCAGACCTCGATGAATGTGCTTCCCAGCGAAACTCAGTTGAGGAGAATCTCCAGCCCCAGTGCCAGCACCTGTGTCACAACTATGTTGGTGGCTACTTCTGTTCCTGCCGTCCAGGCTATGAGCTTCAGAAGGACAGGCATTCCTGCCAGGGTAAGGTTGGGGCACTGTGGGAGGGAGGCAGGGACCGAGCAAGGGCATGCGGGACCAGCCAGAGAGCCCCCAGTGACCCCCGTCCGGCTCTGCTCTCACAGCCGAGTGCAGCAGTGAGCTGTACACAGAGCCATCCGGGTACATCACCAGCCTGGAGTACCCCCAGCCCTACCCACCTGACCTGCGTTGCAACTACAGCATCCGGGTGGAGCGCGGCCTCACCCTCCACCTCAAGTTCCTGGAGCCTTTTGAAATCGATGACCACCAGCAAGTACACTGCCCCTATGACCAGCTACAGGTACAGCCATCCTACTCCCTGAGACTCTCCCTTCCTCACCTTCCCCTCCCCACATCCCTGCTTCCCGCTAGATCCTCTGGCCAGTTGGGACAGGAATGACTAACCTCACACACGGGCTAGACAAGTGGGTCCTGGGGATCCGTTTTCTCCTCCAGCTGAAAACATACACACAGAGCAGATTCCCACCACCATCACCATCCTGGCCCAGTGGGAAAATGTCTGAATTGGAGAGATGGCCCTCCATCTTCCCCACCAGATCTATGCCAATGGGAGGAACATCGGCGAATTCTGTGGGAAGCAAAGACCCGCTGACTTGGACAGCAACAGCAATGCGGTGGATCTGCTGTTCTTCACAGATGACTCGGGGGACAGCCGAGGCTGGAAGCTGCATTATACCACCGAAAGTAAGGTTGCCTGGGGGCCTCTCTCACTGGCCAGCAACAGGGCAGAATCAGATGGGTCGAAAGGACAGTGGCTCTGAAATAAACATGTCCTCTGGTCTCCCAACAGTCATCAAGTGCCCCCAGCCCCAGACCCTAGACAAGTTCACCATCATCCAGAACCTACAGCCTCAATACCAGTTCCGTGACTACTTCATTGCCACCTGCCAACAAGGCTACCAGCTCGTGGAGGTAAGAGCCCGAGGCTGACGGGAGAGAGCTGGCCCAGCCCTCTAGGAGCAATTCAGGTGGGCAGGTTCATATCAGATTTAGGCTCAGCCCCAGCTGGATTCACACATGTTTGAGCTGGAAGATCACCCGGCCTACCTGCTCTCACACTTGACGACACATTGAAAACAAAAACACTGTTGTCTGGGTCCCCTGCAAGAGACCGATGCCATTGGTCTGGAGTGCAGCTAGGATTATTTATAGCTACCCAGGTGATTCTAAGATGCAGCCAAGTTTGTGAACTACTGGCCTAGCATAATAATGGTAGGATTTAAGAACTGACAAGGCAGGGTGGAGTGCAAGGAGGGACTCACTCAACATCACAGCGATTTTGTACAGCAGGGACTAGAACCAAATCTCCTACCTCATGCCCCAGGGCTTTTTTATGTATGATGGTGTTCTCACCCTGGGCCCACCACCCTGTCCTCAGCTTTGCAGGCTCAGGAAAAACCATGGCTTTGTTGGTTAATTTCACAAAAGCTGGTAAACTAAAATGCTATTTTAAAAAACATATACAATTGGAGGGACCCCTGAGGCTACCAAGCTTATTTTCTAAATTTAAAATTGTGGGGTTCAGGGACACCTGGCTGACCCAGTCCGTAGAGCATGCGACTCTAGATCTCAGGGTCGTGAGTTCGAGCCCCACGTTGGGCATGGAGTCTACATAAAATAAAATAAAATAAAATAAAATAAAATAAAATAAAACAAAACAAAATTGTGGGCATCAACTGGACCGTAGTGGAAGCAGGCAAGAGTCTAGAGAGAGGATTATTGGGTCTGACAATCAGCCCTTGCTCTGACTTTCCGCTGTGTGATTCAGTGCTCCCATCTGCAACTCTGGTCGGAGAACAAAGGAGCCACATCCATGGGGGTGCTGAGGTCTGAGAGCCTGAGAGATAGCCTTGCATTCCCTGCTGCTCCAGTGTGGGAAAGGCAGGAAGGGAACCACAGTGCCTCTTTGTGTTAATGATACCTCTACCTCTGTCTGCCTCTTCTCAAACAGGGAAACCAGGTGCTGCTCTCCTTCACAGCTGTCTGTCAGGATGATGGCACCTGGCATCGTGCCATGCCCAGGTGCAAGAGTAAGTCACAACTCAGCAGGTGTCTGCCCCTGGGGAGCTCCCGCCGCCACCCCAGCCATGGAGACCTAGGCTGTGGCAGGAAGAGAGGATGTGGACTAAGCCTCTCCCCAAAACACCCTCCCCCTCACTTGTCCCTTGAAGCCTATGGCCCACCTCAGGAACCAGTCAACCCTCAAGTGAGCAGTGTTGGTGGGCTCTACCCAGAACTGAATTTCACTCCATCTAGTTCCCATCCTTCACAAGTGCCCCCCCGCACTGACCGTATTTCCCTAAGGTTCTCAACCTGTTCTATGGGCAGAAAACTCAAGTTCTTCCCACTGACGTTCCAGTACCGTTACTCTCAGCTCTCATACGGCCCTGTGTTCTCTCCAAGTCAGGGACTGTGGGCCACCCCGAAGCCTGAATAACGGGGCCTTCAATTATGCCACCACAAAGGGGGTGAACACCTACCAGGCCCGTATCCAGTACTACTGCCAGGAGCCATATTACAAGATGCATACCAGAGGCGGCATCAGCGAGACCGCGCGAGGTAGGGACCCATGCAAATGGCAGCCTTCTCCCTTCCATCTTCTCAAGACATCTTCTGAGATTTTTCCAACATAATCCCTAGGGGATGCATATTGAGGTATCTGCCCTGGACATTGGCTTCAGGGGCCTAAAGTACAGTGCCAAGAGGCATCTAGTAGGGTTGAAGGAGGCACCTGAGCTGATACAAAGAAAGTCTTAAATTTCATAAACAGTCAGCTCCCTCTCACCACCACCATGACCATTACTACTGCCACCCCGCAAGCACCATCATCATCCCCATCTCTACCACCACCATCATGACCAACCCCCACCTCTACCCCACCAACACCACCACCCCACCCCACCACCATCATCACCATCATCACCACCATCACGACCAACCCCCACCTCTACCACCACCATCAACACCACCACCCCACCACCACCACCATCATTACGACCATCCCCACCTCCACCACCATCATCACCATCATCGCCACACCACCATCATGACCAATCCCCACCTCCACCATCACTACCACCACCACCACCACACTACAGCTATGTGGGACTTCCCCAACATTCTCCCCACATACCCCTCAGGCTACTATGTTATGATTTTTTTGTAATAAATGACTCTCAAACTCATCTTCAAAACTTTTCTTTAAAATGAAATAAATCACATGCTTCGTAGATTTGAAACTTCAAAAAGAAAAAAGAAAAAATCTTATATATAGATTATATGGTATTATTTAAGAGCTTGGCTTTGAAGTCAGACAGTCTTCAGTTTGCATCTTGGTTCTGGAACTTAGAAGTTATGTGACCCTGTGCAAATTATTTAAGCTCAGTTTCCTCATCCAAAAAAATGAGGATAATAATGCATCCCTGAAAGTGTTACTGTGGTGCTTAAATGAAATAATATAGACAAAGTGCTTAGCAACAAGCATGGTGCACTGTCAGCAATCAGAGCATGTAGCTACCATTATCATCTACTATCCCACTACCAAGACGCAATCACTGATAAGATTTTCATATGTTCCTTCCAGTTTTTATGTCTACTTTCACAAATAGGGATCACATCAAACATAGAGTTAAGTATTCTGATTTTTTCACTGAACATTAAAACAAAAATATATGTAGGGAGCCTCTCCCCTCCCCACACTTTTGATAGTCCATCCTTATGTATTTGAACGTTTCCCTTTGATCCTTGTCCTTGTTGGTTCCAAATCTCACGTCTCCCCGTCCCGCACATTCAGTGCTCGTTGGTTTCCCATGTCCACCACCTCCCAGCCTGATCATAGCCCCGTCTTCCCTCAGGGGCCTATACCTGCACGGCCGAGGGCATTTGGAAAAATGAATGGGAAGGATCGAAGCTTCCTCGGTGTTTGCCAGGTGAGTGGAAGCCCTCCAGGGCCATCCCCAGTGCATTTTGCAGCCCTGCAGAGCCTCAGGAAAAGCATGCACAGAGAATGAAGACAAAGTGAATGGAGAGACACTCCAGCTTGAGGTCAAAAATAGACAAAAAGAGTAAGGGGAAGAGGGGAGGAGATATTCCAGGAGAAAGGGAGAGAAGAACCCAGAGAACCAGAGTCAGTCCTGACATTCCTGCTTTTTCACTGAGCAGATGGGAAGTCAGGGAATAAAAAGAGCAAGAAAACCCCCCAGGAAGAAATAAAAAGAACAAGGAGAAGAGGCTGACAAAAGACCAAAGACAGCCGGTGTGGGAATGGGAGGAGAAAGAAGAAAGAGCCCAGAGCCAAAAGAGGGGTTATAGGGGGAACTGACTGACCACAGAAGAGAAGAGGGTGGGCCCGGCCTGACTTGTCCTTGCCTTCCCTGTCTCTCCTCTCCAGTGTGTGGGAAACCCGTCCACCCTGTGGAACAGAAGCAGCGCATCATTGGAGGGCAAAAAGCCAAGTTGGGCAACTTCCCCTGGCAGGCCTTCACCAACATCTATGGGCGAGGGGGTGGAGCCCTGCTGGGCGACCGCTGGATCCTCACAGCTGCCCACACCCTCTACCCCAAGGATCATGAAGCACAAGGCAATGCCACCGTGGATGTGTTCCTGGGCCACATAAGCGTGGAAGAGATCACAAAACTAGCAAACCACCCTGTCCGCAGGGTCAGCATCCACCCAGACTACCGCCAGGATGAGTCCCACAATTTTGAGGGGGACATTGCCCTCTTGGAGCTGGAAAATAGTGTCACCCTGGGTCCCAACCTCCTCCCCATCTGCCTCCCTGACAACGAGACCTTCTATGACAGGGGCCTCATGGGCTATGTCAGTGGCTTTGGGATAATGGAGGAGAGGCTTTCTTATGACCTCAAGTTTATCCGTCTGCCCGTAGCTAAGCGAGAGGCATGTGAGAACTGGCTCCGGAAAAATAAGAGGAGCGATGTGTTTTCTCAAAACATGTTCTGTGCTGGGGACCCGTCTCTAAAGCAGGACGCCTGTCAGGGGGATAGCGGAGGGGTCTTTGCAGTGAAGGATGAGAACAATGACCGCTGGGTGGCCACGGGCATAGTCTCCTGGGGCATCGGGTGCAGCAGGGGCTATGGCTTCTACACCAAATTACTCAACTATGTGGACTGGATCAAGAAGGAGATGGAGGGGGAGGGCTGAGCCCAGAATTCACTAGGACAGAATCCAGAGAGCAATGCAAAAAAAAAAAAAAAATTATCTGACCAGTTATTGATAACCACTAAGAATCCATATTAAAATCACTGATGCAGAAAAAACCCGTGTGAAATAAATGCTCTTTTCTATAACCCCATCCCTGTTTGTTACCTAAAACAACCCAAAAGTCACCTTTCTTTCCTCTAAGGATTACAGAAGATATATTCTACAATCTCTACTTATCATTGTTCTCTTCCATTTTTGTACCATTGGATAATTGAAACTCTTTCTAAATAAAATTTTATGAGAAATTCCAGTGTGCTTGCGATGCCTGGGTGGCTCAGGAGGTTAAGCATCTGCCTTCGGCTCAAGTCATGATCCCTGGGTCCTGGGATTGAGTCCCACATCAGGGAGCAGGGAGTCTGCTTCTCCCTCTGCCTGCCTCTCCCCCTGCTTGGGCATACATGCTCTCTCTCCCTCTCTCTCAAATAAACAAATAAAATCTTAAAAAAAAAAAGAAAGAAAGAAAGAAATTCCAGTGTGCAAAATGAGTTAAAAGCAGTATCCAATTGATATAAAAATATTTAGTAAGATTGTATTTAAAATAGAAAGGCAGGGGCACCTGGATGGGCCAGTCAGTTAAGCATCCGATTCTTGATCTCAGCTCAGGTCTTGACCTCAGGGTTGTGAGTTCAAGCCCTGCGTTGGGCTCCACGTTGGATGTGGAGCCTACTTAAAAAAAAAAAAAAATAGGAAGGAAATAACAAAAAAGTTTATGCACACATTTTTAATGAGGATTGTAGATAACTATTTCTTTTTTTAAAAGATTTTATTTATTTATTTGAGAGAGAGTGAGAGAGAGCACTAGAGCAGGGTGAGGGGCAGAGGGAGAAGTGGAATCCCCGATGAGCAGGGAGCTAGATGCCGAGCTAGATCCCAGGACTCTGGGATCATGACCTGAGCCAAAGGCAGGTGCCCAACTGACTGAGCCACCCAGGTGCCCCAATAACAATTTATTTCTAATTTTGTTTTGATTGTACGATATGAAGAAAATCCTGATTTTCCCATGCAGGTAGTTGCAGATATAACAGGTTCTTTTTAAAAAGTTCACTTTCCAATCTCTAAATATTTCTCTGTCTCTTTTTTTAAAGATTTTATTTAAGTAACCTCTACACACAGTGTGGAGCTCAAACTCACAACTCTGAGATCAAGAGTTAGATGCTCCGCTGACTGAGCCAGTCAGGCACCCCTCTAAATATTCTGTGAGAGAGGAGTGGTATGAAATTTTTGTTTCCAAGTTGAAATATTAACAATATTTTCAAATAACTTGTATTACTTGAGGCACATTTAAAGGTCAGAGAAGGACCCAAAACTTAAGATAAGCATTGTAGGTATTTATAATAGAATATTATCATGTTATTGAACAACTGACTCTTCTGGACTTGTTTGAACAAGAACTGACATACACAGGCTTGAATTTAAAAAGACCAATGCAGGGACACCTGGTAGCTCTGACTCTTGGTTTCGGCTCAGGGCATAATCTCAGGGTCTTGAGGTCAAGCCCGACATTGGGCTTCACGCTCAGCACAGAGTCTGCTGGAGATTCTGTCTCTCCCTCTGCCCCTCCCCCTGCTTATGCTCTCTCTCTAAACATACAAACAAACAAACAAAACAACAAACAAATAAAATCTTTTTAAAATAATAAAAAATAAAAATAAGTAAAAAATTAAAAGACCAGTGCAGAGTTAAAGCCTTTTCCAAGTAATGAGAATTTTCAAGTCCAAATGCAGGTCCACAGTCCCTTATCGGACACTCTCAGGGCCAAATGCCTTTAGTATTCAAGACCTTACAGGTTTCAGAAATGCAACATACTGGCTATTATGTGATGTCCCCAGCAGGGTCTAGGGCAGCATTCTAAGGCAACAAAACAGAGGAATAATTCTTCTGAAAAACATTTTAATATTCACAGTATATGAGATAGATAAAGACTCTAAGTAGCTACCCTTCAGGTCAGGTTTTGCCACTGAATAACTTTTGGTGCCAGACTATTAAAACACTCTCAGTTTTTAAGAGCACTTCAGATGTCAGGATTGTAGACTTCAGGATTGCGGACATGGCAGAAATGACAGGAAAACATTTTCTTGTATAGTCTACACAAAAGCATCCGCAAGTGGTATGCAGTGTGTTTGAGGAGCACACGCTGATTTCAGTAATTTAGTGTTTTTCAGAAGTGAAGCACCTCCAGGATTCCAATGGAGATGGGAATGGAGCGGGGGAAGGAGCCAGAAGTGGTGAGAACAGAAACTGAAACGAAAATGAAAATATTGAACTATTTCCAAGGTTCCTGGCAAAGTTAAGATTCTGAGTCCTTTGTCCTTATGGTAGTCTTCAAAGGTGATCCCAGCAGAGTCCAGTGACTGCTCTGATCCTCCTGGTCCCAATGCCCTTCCTCCAAAGTCTTATGCAGCTTATCCTTCAAGTGCACCGGAACAAAAAAAATAAGGCTAAAACCAATGTCCTAGGAATAGACATCAGAAAAGAAAATAAAAATTAAGGTTAAGCTTTGGGGCTTAAGCTGACTCACAGAAAAGAAAATACTTAAATTAAGACACCATCTTTTTAGCTGTAAGATTGGCAATGATAATATACTCTGTGGGTGAAGATGTAGAGAGAACAGTCACTCATGCGTTACTTGTTGGAATGTGAACGGTACAAACTCTGTAAGGAGGAATTTGGCAACATGCAATCAAAACCACAAATGCACATGCCTCTGACCCAGCAATTCCACTTCTAGGAATTTTTCTCACAGATATTCTCAATAAGATAAATGACATAGGTACAAGGCTAGTCATCGAAGCATTGCATATGATAGCAAAGCATTAGAATCCTGAATTCTGAAAGGTCTGGTACCAAAGTTTCAGTTATATTATGGAATATCCACATAATGAAATACAATGTAGCCATTCAATCTCTAAATGAAAAACATAAAAAGCAGGACAGTGTGTATAAAATACTACTATAGAAAAGAAGAGTGGGTATACATTGCTTTTATAAGCATAAAATATTGCTGGAAAGATATACAAGAAACAATGGTGGTTTCTAGGGGAGGGCAGTAGTAAGAAGAAAAGTTATTACTCTATACTCTTTTGATCTTTCAAATTTTGAGTCATGTAGATGCATTATCTAGTCAAAAAATAGAGAAATAGAGCTCTATTAAGATATTCTTTAATTTTAAAAAAATTGAAAAGGGTAACTTCATTGAAAAGGTGGACATTTGGCAAAGATTGAAGGAAGTTAGATATTCAGAGATCTAGGGGCGCCTGGGTGGCTCAGATGGTTAAGCGTCTGCCTTCTGCTTGGGTCATGATCCCAGGGTCCTGCGGTCGAGCCCTACATCGGGCTCCCTGCTCAGTGCAGAGCCTGCTTCTCCCTCTCCTTCTCCTGCTCCCCCTGCTTGTGCTCTCTGGCTCTCTCTGTCAAATAAATAAATAAAATCTTTAAAAAAAAAAAAAGATATTCAGAGATCTAAGAAAAGGCATTCCAGGAAGAGAGAACAGCTAGTGCAAAGGTCCTGAGGCAAGAATATGCTTGATCCATTAGAGAATTGCAGAGGCAGCCGATGCAGAATAGTGTGAACTTACATTTTCAAAGGCTCACTCTGGCTGCTGAATTGAGGTCAGATTGCAGGTGGGAAAGGGCATAAAGAGGACCAGTTAGGAAGCAATTACGATAATCCAGGCAAGAAGTGATGGTAGCTCAGACAAAGTGGTAGCAGTGGAAGTGATGTAAAGTAGTCATATTATGGATAAAATTTGCAGGCGGAACCAGTAAGTTTCCTGATGGAAAATATACTGGAGAGAGCTGAATGAGAAAAAGAGAGAAGTCAACTAGATGCAGAAGATTACAAAAGGAGCAGGTCTGATGAAAAACATAAGGAGGTCCCTTTTGCACATGTTGAATTTCAGATGCCTATTAGATTAGGGCCAAGATGGAGTAACAGGAATTAGATTTACCCACCCTCCTGAAACAACAAACAACAGCAACAACAACAAAAACATCAAATATATGAAACAATAATTCTTGAGACATTAAATTTCAGGTAACAAAGGACAATGGTTGCCCTATGATTGCCCCAGCTTACTGCCTTGAGAGAGTTTCCACACTGAGGTACTGGAAGGAGAAACCCAGGTAACACTTAGATGACTCCCTGGGTTGAGCCAAAAGTGCAGGGAGACCAAGGCTATTGAAATTCACAGAACTGAGGATTATAGAGAAGAAAGCCACCAAGAGAGAACTCCAGAGATCTGCAGAAGAGCCCTACAATTTTCTCACCCATATGTGAGAAAATTATTCAAGGTTAGAGAAAAAAGCTGTATGACATGATTATATGGAACAGTAGCAGGCAATCAACAAGGCTAGGAAAAGTGCCTGATCCTACCAGCCAGACTGAATTCATGGGGCATTAGGTAGAGGATGCAGAAAGGTCTTGCCTTAGTGGTAGGGAACAATTAGCCCTAGTAATTAAATGCTGCTCTGGTCCTATCTAACAAATGTTAAAAGCAAGACCCAAAAGGATCAAACTGTTTCTAAGTAACTTAACTGAGTCCCAGAACAGCGCTCCAGAATATTTATAGAATTACAAAAATATCCAGCACCCAACAAGATAAAATTCACAAAGTCTGGCAACCAATCAAAGGATATGAGGCATACAAAGGAGCAGGAAAATATGATCCATAATGAGAAGAAAAATTCATCAAAACCAAGCAAAAACTGACATATGTCAGAATTAGAAGACTGGACATTAAAACAATTGCTATAACTTCATCATGCGTGTTCAGAAAATTAAATAAATGTCCACTAGACACCCAAAAAGAGATGCTGAATATGCTGCTTGATGTATAAATTTAGGGTTGAGGGGACGGGTCTAAGCTAAAAATGCAAAGTTTGGAGTCATTGGTAGGTATATAGATGGGTGTTTAAAGCCACAGGTCAAATGAAGCCACCAAGGGAGTAAAGATTGATAGAGAAGAGAAAAGAACCAATGCCTATGCCCTGAGGCATGCCATTATAAAAGTCTGGGAGAACAGGAAAAATCAGCCTAAGGAGGCTCAGAAATTGTGACTGCTAAAGAATAAATGTGAATCTCAAAATTCATATGTTGAAGCCCTAACTCCAAACAGGATGGTATTCAGAGTTGAGGTCCTTAGGAAGTAATTAGGTTTAGATGAGGTCATGAGGGTGGGATAAGAAAGCAAAGATCTCTCTCCACACATAGGCACCAAGAAAAGGCCACATGAGCACACAGTACGACAGCTGTCTGCAAGCCAGGAGGAGGGACCTCACCAAAACAGAATCGGCCAGCACCTTGATCTTGGACTTCTGAGCTTCCAAAAC